ATAGACTAAATGGCACCCAACAATGGTAAAACCAACAAAGAATATAGACAGAAATCAATTTGAAGCTTAAAAAGGGAAAAGCATTGATGAAGGCATGCCACACTTATCTTTAATAGTTTAATAATTTTTAGAAACATTCTGGTACAATAAAGCAAGAGCACATACTAAAATACATTCTCCTTTAAAACACAGATTTACATTTACCAAGGAAGACATCATTCTGTGAAGGTTAAAGGAAGAAATATAATCAACATTATCAACAAGCAATAATACTCTCATCCTAGTTAATGAGAATTTTTAGAAAAGTCTGGAAAAAGAACTAGATATGCAATGATTTGATTATGGAAAAGTGGGAGAACAAGGGGATTTACAGGTTTGGACCCAAAATTAGAGATGTAGTAAAATACATATAAGCTAAAATAGAAGCAAAATGATCTTGAAAGAAAAAACCTAGGTAGTCTCAAAAAATGTATTTTAAATAAATTATTGACAAAGTGAGAAGAAACTAAATTTCTGAGGAAATCTGGGCACAAGGATTGCTCCTTAAGGCACCGGAAGGGATGCATGTTAGTAATCAGAACTGCAATGGCATACAAAGAACAGAACTGGAGAGATTCTGTATAACTAACATGCAACCTTGGACATTTTCCCTCTAACAAATGCTACAAGGGACACAGAATTAAAAAACAGTGTTACTAGAGAGATAAAGAAAATGGAGTTGGAAGAAGAAGCGCTTTGGAAAGAGGCAGGAAGACAAGGTTATATGATAGGAAGAAAAAGTTATCGAACAATTTATTAACAGTAGTTCATCTGTACAAAGGATCATTATACTGATAGTGGAGATTATTTTTATTTTATTTCCATTTTGCAGCAAAACAATACAAGCTGCGGCAGGACAATTTGGTTTTAACCTAACAGAACCTTTCCAGTGGCCACTAATTGAACAATGGAAAACAAAACCAAGCCGTAGTGCGGAATCGTCACTCTTTAAATGTAAGGCATACACACTTTGGATCGCGGCCTGAAGGCAGAGGAAGACTGCAAATAGCAACTTTGGTCCATGACAAGTTCTCAGACTGAGTTCTATGCTGATGCTATTTTTATGTGACTCAGAGACAACACTGTACAGTGACTGAGAGATGAGAGTTCCTTTGGGGTTATCAGTTACTCACAGAGCCTCACTCAGAGGCAGGCTTGCAAGGGGCTCATATTCAACCCTTACATGTGACATGCATTCATGTCACTTCACTGTGGCAGAAGTAACATGCAGATTCTGAAACAGAATTCTGTAAAACACAAGAACTGATCCTACTTGTAAAAAAAATAATGAAGATTAGATTATTAGAGTGAGAAGGTTTAGAAATTCATTGCTTGTACTGTCTTGATAACATTTCATTTATATATTTTTATACAAGTTAAAAATTGTGAATGAAGTTTATGGAGTTTTGTGTAGCTTAATTCTAAAAGAGTTGGAAGATATCTTTTATTCAATGAAACTTGGAGTCCTTTTAATATCAATAAAATTTTATAATTCTGAAAGGTTGTCCTATAGTTTAATAATGCTAAGAAATGAAAACACAGGAACTATTGGGAGAATTAGTAAAAGAGGGCAGGAGAAGGCTTAGCATACACAATTTCTTCACTTGTAAAGGTAGTATGAGCTGATAATCTTACACTGCTAGACTGCACCCCTAAATAACCTGGTAATTAGTTAAGTTTGAGAATTATTTGCTAAGTGTTTATAACTAATCATATGTTAGATGATCACTTTTAGTTTTCTATTGTTGTGATAAAGGGGGTCAATGCCAAAGTAAATACACAGATCTTTGTTGATCACATATGAAGAGGAAAGTTATTAGTTGCAATTAACTACAGGAAAGCCTCAAGAGAAGGGCTTGGGGTCAGGCATGTGAATTTACATTCCACGTAAGTCATCTTTCCATTCACAGCATAAACCTGGAGTCACTTAACAGAAAACAGCTCTACTCAAGCTTTCCTAGGATCCGTCACAGGTTGCTTTAGCACAATATGCATCTGCGTTAGCAACTATTTAGGAGGGAGCTCTGGTGGCATAATGGTAAGGAGCTGTGCTGCCAACTCAAAGGCAGGTGGTTCGAAGACGGGCAATCTTCTATGTGAGTCTCTGCCTCTGGAAACCCCTTGGAGGGTCAGCTATGGGTCCATCCTGATTGTCCTGACTCGGTGGTACACAACAACAAAACAAGTGGCTGCAGCCCGCAGGGCGCTGCACTACTAACCCAGAGGCCAACGAGCCTCACCACTAATTTCAACTCACCAGCAGCTTGTGGGGAGAAGATGGGCAGTCTCCTCCTCTGGGATTCCGAGCCATGGGAATCCAGCGGGGGGCAGCTAGTCTACATTGTTTACGAGCAATGTAACAGTTCTCATCATTTACAGGGTGGCAGAAGAAAACACAAATGTTTTCTTTGCAGCCAAGAAACTGGGAGATCTCTAACTGTTTTGAACAACCGTTCGTAAGAACTGTCTTAACGAATCAAAAGCCCGCAGGTGCTGAGTAAACTGTGACTGCCACCGACCCCACAGGACGGAGCAGAAACGGCCCACAGGGTGTCCAAGGCTGTGACTCGCTACAGAAGCACAGTCACATCCACCTCCCATGGAACAGCTGGTGGGTTTGACTGCCAACCTTCCGGTTAACATTTGAACACTTAAACCAATGTACCACCAGAGCTCCTTGTTTCTTCAGAAACAAGAGATATATATAAAATATGGGAGTCATTATTATAAGCAACTTTGACATCTTTTGTTAAGACACACAAAAGAAACTCACATGTTCTAGGGCTCAGAAATTAAATCAGTTCCCAAATTTCATTTTCCACTAAAATATTTATTTAGTTGGTGATCTTACAGAAATAAGTAAGAGTAGTTTTTCCTCTAATACAGGAAAGAATGGTTAGGTTTTATTTTCTTACAAAATTCAAACATCTCAAACAGTTTCCCCTAAAATTATAGTTTAGAAAGGAAAATCAGAAAACAAAGCAAAACAAAAATGCTTAAATCATCTTATTATCAAATTACAATGACGGGCCCTCTTAATCTGTGTGACCTGTGATTCTAGTATAAGAGCATGAGGTGGGGGAACAGTGACTCCAGTGTTTAAGTGTATGTTTCTCAATATTATGTATGTTTCTGACATTACTTTTTCTGTAAAATAGGAATGACATTAATCACATCAACTTCACAGGACTAGTGAGAAAATGAAACATGTGAAAGTATAGGAAAGCTCTTCATAATATGTAAAGAGCTACAAAAATAATGGTTATATTTAGTTTCATATAAAAGAACCAATGCATATCTCCCTTCAACTGAAGTGTAAGCACCAAAAACACGTTTGTATTTTCTTCAGTTGAATTGTGTCACCCTATAAACCTAGAATAAGAAAATGCACCTTGACTAAGCACCAAAGGCTGTCGGATAAACATGATCCAGGGCATATTTCTATTACAGTTTTCTGGGCAACTACATAGGAGCTAATGAGTCCTGAGGGTCAATTAAAACTCTGAAGGCTCAAAGAAAACAACAATAAAAAGGACATTTGGATTACACTGAACGGCTAAGATACAAGCTACACCTTAATTAATGATTTCAAAGTCCATTAATTCTTCATAGAAGAAGAAACACTTTGCTGTTATCACTGGCAATTATTTGCTTATGTGACCATGACAATCTCTCATTCCAAACAACCAAATACTAGTCCCTAAGGGAAGCATAACCTGAATAAAATAAATCCTATCAGACATTTGAATACAAGGAGTTAAAAAAGCATAGTAACACATGAACATGAGAAAGGAAAAGAATCCAAGATTTCAGTATAATAATAATAATTAAAAAAATCCTCCTGTAGTTCCATGTTACACTGACAAGATCTAGAACCGTAAAAATTTGCATTATTTGCAGGTAAAGCATTCTTAAAATGTGAACATTTAATAAGAAAAATTAAAAGTACAGTAAGTCCCCAAGTTATGAACATTCAACTCATATTTTTCTTTTATTATTTATAAATTTGCTCTCACTATGAAATAAATGAACAAACTTCTACTCCCAGCAAATCCTTCATCACAATTACCTTCACCTGTAGCACAGGCAGTTTTTAAAGAACTGAAAATGCACCAAGCCTTTTCTTGTGCTAAATTAAACCTAAATAAGAAGTGTATACATTTGTTCTGACTTAGGTATGAACTTGAATTAAAGACACACTTAATAATAGCTAACATTTGTAACCCAGGGACTATCTGTAGAGTCAGCAGTTTAATTTTAAGGTAAAAATTACACTTAAATGTTAATACACTTAAAAATACTATTGAGTTAACAGATTACACTGGTATCATTTAACACAATGAAAATATGAAAAGTTTTCAATACTTTGATTTTCAATAGCAAGATCCAGATAACAGAAATATTTTCCTAACATTAGCTGACTGTTAGGAGTTGTATTACTATGAAGTAATTATATGTGGAGTTAGAGTCTAAATCTATTTAGATAACTAGGAGTTAATATAATTTAACATCTACTGAAACATATAGGATATTGGTGCTAAAGATAATGAAACCCCTTTCTAAAACGGGCCCTTCTATACCATTTTATATAATAGGTCATACAAAACTAGATTAGTTCACATTCTCTTATTCCAACTCTTTGTAAGACAGATTTTATCTAAAGAAAGATACACATTACCTTTCTTCAGTCTCTTCCCTCCTAAGACAGAGCTATTCTTTGGAGCAAAAATAAATGTTCTATTAAGAAGTGTGGAAAAATTAAAAACCTGAAAGCTCTTTTGGAAACTATACATTGAAAACTCAGGAATTACTGGGACAGTGTACAATCAGAAAGAGAAACAAATTCACTCAACAAGTGTTTAGTGACATCTACTGGAATTATTCTAGTCATCATTTTGCTGTATAAGCCGCGAGCCTTTCTGAGTACGTTACATTAATGTCTGGATGGAATCAAGTGTCCTTCATTCAATGTCTTCCGTTTCTTTGGTGAACAGGTCTGCCAGGTCTGCCACGGTCAGGACGGGGGCCTCGCAGAGCTTTGAGGACGAGCTGGAGTGACTGCATTTGCCAGGAAGAAATGAGTATGTTTGTAAGAACATTCCTAATTACGTATTTGTCCTATGCTTTTATAACTACATCACAGGATATTTCCAGAAGACAAGTGATAAAGCTTTTACATTCCATCAATATTAGGAAACACTTCCATATATTTATTTATGGCTGAGCCATAAATCGCCCCCACCCCGCATAATTAATAGGATAAGAAAACTCCTGAATACTATGAACCCTCTAACCTTACAGGAAATTTAAGAGCTCTTTAAATTACTAGTTTAAGCACCTAAAGAAAAATCGCTGAGGTCTGTTACATATGGAAATAACAACAATAACCACCCTTCTTATTTGAGGCAAAAAGCCCACACATTAGTTTCTGAAAAGCGCTTCTTGTTTTCGTCCACGCACAGGGCTCTCTGAAAACTATCCCTTCTAAGGCAGTAACTTCTCCCTTGGCTCGCTTACCATCATAATGAGCTCCACCGGCGTAGTGAGGCACTGGTTTACACTTTCTAAAAAGGCTTAGAGGAAGCCAATTGATACTAATAACATAAATACCAGAAGATGATGATGCCAAAGTCAAGTCTGTTATCTTAAGGCTGTTCTGTCTCTGCAGTTAAGACCACAACCCCCAGCCGAATTTTCAATGGTACTAACCCTCCTGGCATGAGACTAACTAGAATGCAACAGAAATACACATCTTCCTTCACACATAGGAAGCCTCTCTTCATCTACTTGTATTAATACTTACGTCTTCTCAGCAGTTTTCAGCATTGCTTGCATCCTTTCTTCTATTGTTGCTTTAATTAAGAATCGGTGCACAATAGTAGGTCTAGAAAGTACAAAACAACTGTAAGTTTACAAATATCTTAAATAAGTTTCAAACAGACTTCACATGTTTTACGCTAGACTTAGCAGTCAGCTGGTGCTCGCCTGTAGGACAACCAGGCACCAGAGATTAAAACAAAGACCTTGATCTCAATGAATCTGAGAACACGTGCACATTTAAGACAATTTCTGGTACACAGCAGTGGAGATATGATTCATGGGAACAAAATGAAAAGAGCATTCCACCAGAAGAAACAGAAAAGGGAAGAATGCAAAGTTTCTGGGAAGAGACATTCTTATGCCACATCTAAAATGCCGAGAGGCACAAAGTAGCCGAGACCGGCAGAGGCAATACCGTATGCGGCAGAGGAGGGAAGCAGAGGTGGAGGGGGGGCAGGCGCCCAGCCACGGGGACCTTGAAGGATATGGTCAAACTATGGAGCCGTGGTCACCATGAAAAGTCTTCAGTTTTAGACACGGCTGAACTTCTATTTTGATTTTACTTTAGAAATCCTTTGGGCAACGGTGTAGATGATAGGGGTAAGAAGCAACCCCCAAAACACAAAACCCCCCAAAACTCCTCTTTTCCCTGTAATGCCTCGACAGGGAGTCAAAGTATCTATCTGAAACTTGGCACTATGTTTTACACATTGTGTGTGACCTTGGACAAGTTGTTGTGTATCTTCCAGTTGGAATCAACCCACAGCTGACCCTCTGGCAGGCTTCCAGAGGCAGTGAGCATGTAGGGGGACACTGCCCATTCGTTTCCTCTGGAACAGATGCTGGACTTGAACTGTGTGCCTTTGGGATTGCAGTGCAGCTTCTTGTCACTAGGCTACCACTAAGTACTTAAATAAGAAAGAAATAACTAAATCAATATCTAAATAGTGGTAAGGTCCTGCACTGCAATTCCAAAGGCATGCAGTTCAAATCCACCTGCTGCTCCACAGGAGAAATATGGGCAGTCTCCTATGTGATTAAAGTGCCTCTGAAAACCTGCTGGAGGGTCAGGTATGGGTCAATTCTGACTTGTTGGTACACAACAACAATAACAAACAGATTTTGATCTGCATTGTTAAATCAAATGATCAATTACCAGTACTTATCTCTCTAGGTGTTCAGATTAGAAACCATGGTGTTACATTTTACATCTGGCATACACTGTATCAAGTCTGTCCAAAAATACTATGGGCTCTACCTTCAAAATACATCTCAAACCTGGTCCCTTCCCTCCATTTTTCCAGCTGCCGTCACAGTCCAAACCAGCCACAACTCTCCTGAGTTGCTGTAGCAGCTTCCTCACTATTTCCAGATTTACTCTCTGCTGCTCCCTACGCCCTAACCCTGCCTTGCACGTGGCCCCCACAAGAATTCTTTCAAAACTCAGCTTACAGCCCATTATGCACTTGCTCAAAACCCTCTAATGGGTCTCTAGCTCACAGAGCAGAAAGGTTCTCAGAGAGGCTTCTGAAACAAACCACCCCCCCCCAACACCTCCTCCTGTGGAGTTGCTTCTGACGTGCAATGACCCTGCAGGACAAAGCCGAACTGCCCTTGATGCTACAAATCTTTACAGAATCAGAATGCCACCATCACTCTCCCTGGTGAGGCTGGTGAGTTTGAACTGTCAACCTTTCAGGGAGTGGGTGCTGACCCACTGTGCAGTCAGGGGTCCTTGAGCTTCCTCACTCACTCATGGTGTCAAGTTGGTTTCAACTCATACTGACTCTCCGCCGGCTTTCGGAGGCCTCCTATGACCTGTTTCCCTTAAGCTCTCTGACTTCGTCTCCTATTCCTTTCCCCTTTGTTCACAACTCCGACCTTCCTAGCATTTCTCAAACATACCAAGGGAACTGCTGACTTCAGGTCTGTACACTGGAATATACTGCTTGAACACTGTTCTCCAAGACACCTAAATGACTCATATGCACACCTCTCACATCTGTTCAAATACTACTTTCTCAATAAGGCCTTCCTGCCTATCCATGTGCACTCTTAATCCTCCTCACCCTGACTTCTATTTCTAGCCCAGGACAGTATATGTATTTTATATGATTATTGTTTAGCATCTGCTTGCCTCTCTCAACCTGTTTCTGACTAGAATAAAGACTCCATCAGGGCACTTCCAGTATTTCTGTCAACGCGCACAGAAGGGGCTCCAGAAACACCAAATGAAACAGGTGGTACTGACGCAGGAAAATGGATACACTTGGTGAGAGGACTGAAGTCTCCACACGAAGTAGAAAAACCTCTTTGCCAGGAAACATGATTGTTTAGGTGGTGCTTAGTGGTCTTTCCAGACTCACAGTTGTAAATATGAAGTGAGTCTATGTTTTAGAAAAATAGTAGCATGACAAGAATTCAACGTTTTAGGAAAGAATAAAACCAACAAAATAGAAGACAGACATAATTATAGCCTTCTTTGCTATCTGTGACTGCTTACAGAGCAGTCCACATGCCTGACTAAGGCCTACAAAGCATTCACCTGCCACTCCTTGTACTTTTTAATCCAACAATGGCAATCTCTTTATATTCTGCACATAGGTGTTTACCACCTCCACGTTACCGCATGTGCAACTACTCTTTGGCTTTACGAGCACCTCTTCTATCCAGCTTTGCGATCCCATCAATACTCAGCCTAATAAGGCCTGTCCTGGCTCTCTGGGGCACAATCTACTCTGTCCTGCCACCACAGTCACCATCCTGTTATGCTTTGGTCCACTTCAGTGAAGTCCTCTAGCACATAGACACTTCCTTGTGGGAAGAGCTTATTTCTTAATCAATCTGCATTCTGGTGTAGTGCTTACAGCAGTATTTTGCCAAACTCAAGAAATCCAAGCTCCAGGAGCTATTATTTCTAGAAGGCCTTGTCAAAGGTAATTCTCAACATTCTGATATTAGGTTTGCTTTGAGCCTTCTAAGAGCTCACTTAGGGGTGTGTATGTTCCCAAGAGTGAGAACTTACAAGGAGCTAGTTATTTCAGTCAAGTATGAGGTATGGTTTCTTTTAATAATAGGCTACTCTAGACAGAAATAAATTCTTAATAAAACTATGACAGATGATTTTAACTATGCAATCGTGCTAAGCATTTCTAATGCATCCTATGTGATGCTATCAAAGTAGCTTTAGAAGAAGGAAGACCTTCTGGTGAAGCAATTACAGCAGTTTTGATGACAAGAAGACAAAAAATGTGGGAGACTTTTGAGGTTTGCTGATTGGTGGCAGGAAGGCGAAAAAAAAAAACCCTCAATTTACTTTTGGTTCTATTCGGAAAACACTTCAGTAAGTAAAGAAGCGAATAAAAATGATAGGTTATGATAAACTCTATTGGAAGACAGTTTATTTGGTATCTTAGAAACATAAAGTAAATACAACTAGGGCTAATTTTAGTTCTTACTTTGTTTGTCCGATTCGGTGCACCCTCCCGATGGCCTGCAGCTCATGGGCGGGGTTCAATATGGGCTCCACCAGGAGAACATGAGTGGCCTCAATGATCGTTAGTCCATTAGAGCCCGTGTGCAGGGGCAGCAGCAAAATATTGATCTGAGGATCATGTTTAAAGGCTGAGAGATTCTCCTAAAAAGACAAAGGCAGATTTTAATTTTTGCTAGGTTAAAAAGAAGAGCAGTATATTTTAGCTACCTTTAAAGATAATCAGAATGAAAATAAGGAAATAAAATGTAAAACTGTAAATTTTAGAAAACATGTGTTGTTTCATTTTAATGACAAAAACAAGTATTACCCAAGTTCTCCTGACTTCTATAATACATAAGAGAATCACAAGATAGTGCATGTGACATGTGCAAATTACATGTGCTAAGAGAGGAAAGAAAGAATGAAAAATAACATGCCAGAGTAAACAGGAGAGAAGAAACACAAAAGATGTTGAATTTTAGGTTGGATTTCTCTGAGTGAGCACTTGACACTGCTCAGTGTGAACAATTTCATTTTATACAGTTTCATTTAATACAGTATATTTAGAACCTGATCCCTACAGGCACAAGGCTTTCGGTCCATTCAAGAGTTTTATCATAGACAATCATGTCCTGTATATAAGGACCTTAAACCAGAAGATCTTAAAAACCCCTCAACCCACAACAAACCAAAACACCAAATAAAAAATATTAAAAGATTAAACTGTGTGTTGCTTTTTAAAGGTTAATTTTGTAATTCACCAGTTAAGAACTGAAGCCCAGCTATGTGGTTTATATGATAAAAGGGGGGGGGGGAAATGTAAGTAAGCTCGTTAAAAGTTTCACTGTGCAACTGAATCTACAACAAATAACGTAATTTAAATCTTGATATACCTGAAATGTCTTAATGCGACTGATTTGTGCGAATTCCATATTGTTGTCAGTGAGAGCTTTTGAAATAATGTCCAGTACATCTTGCCACTAGAACACATACAGGAAAAGCACATACAGCTTTCACAAACAGGCTCTGAAAATCAACTAAACCAAAATAACTTACAGAAAACCCTCAAATCTAGTACTATTATTAATACAATGCTGCTCTATCTTGAGTTTGTGAGCTCTTAAGGCTTAGTGGGTAAAGACTTGCATGGTTGACCCAAAGGCAGGTGGTTCGGGTCCGCCAGCTGCTATGTGTGACAAAGATGGGCAGGGAATGCTTTCACCACTGCTCCATCAGGGCTCCATAAAATCTCTAAATAAAACACAATTCTATGAAATGTATCTAAGAAATTACAGTAAGTTTGTAATTAAAAAATTTCCCTAAAAATTATATCTTAAGAAAAATAATAAGTAAAATCTTGTCACTAATCCTAAACCTCAGTTATATAGTAGTAAATAGGAAAAATTAGTTCTCTCATAGACACTAGCATAAGCCGATGAGAACCATTTGATGAAAACTGTATAAGGTCCTATTGAGAGGAAAATGCAGACGGTACCGTTGAGAAAACAAGGGCTTTAGCTCCGGGGTCTTTAAGCTGGATTCTCATTAGAGTCCTGACGACGGCTTCAATTTTTGTAGAATGGCTGCCCTTTGAAAACAAAGAAGAAAACCTATCACTACAAATATAAACTAATGATTTTTATATTATATAAAAACCAATACGAAAACTTTCTATTATAAAATCTATACATTAAAAACACTTATCAGTCTAGAGTCTAAGGTGTGCCTGATCCAGGCTAGGGTCTTTGCAATACTTGCTATGCACCAGAGAGTTGGACAATGACTAAGAGAACAGAAAAATCAATGTCTTTGCATTGTGGTGCTAAAGAAGAGTCCTGAACCAAGAAAACAAACAGGTCTGTCTTGGAGAGGGTGAAACCTAGTTTCTCCTTGGAGGCTAGGATTTTGAAGCTCTGTCTTACATATTTTGGGCACGTGGCCAGGAGGGACTGATCCTTAGAGAAGGACATCATGCTCAGATGGGTGGAAGGACAGTGAAGGAGAGGAAGACTACTGATGAGATGGATTGACACAGTAACTGGGGCAATGGGGGCAAGTGTGTCAGAGTCAGTGAAGACTGGCTCAGGACAGGAAAGGTTCAGAGCTTTTGACACACAGGCCTCTTATGAGTTCCAGGCGACGCAACGGCACATAACAACATCAGGTATGTACATATTCTTTTTTTTCCATTTTATGTAGGAAATTTTCTTTAGTTTCAACTTGTAGATTTTATCGATTTTACATGTAGAATCACCAGAAAGTCAGACAAAGATATGACACTCGAGTATGTTCAGTGAAGTGGCTACATTTTGTTGCTCCCTTAGATGAGAATTTATACTAAAAAAAAATTCGTCACTTAATTTTATTAATTTTGGACATAAAGGTATTAGAAACATTAAGAGCACAATCACAGTGGTAATTATAAAGAACGATTAGCAGTACAAATGCTGTCCACTTGGCCATGAGGTTGATGTTACAGGCTAGATGGAGAGAAGACTGGAGTTGTTAATGATTTTATCTTGGATCCGCAATCAATACCCTTGGTACCAGCTGTCAAGAAATCAAAACAAGGGTCTGCATTAACCCTGTAAAAAGTTAATGGCAACAATCAATGGTAATTAATGCCTATGAGTAATTTTGGAAAAAAATTAATGTGATTTGTAAAATGTTCACTTTTCACTTAAAAAAAAAAGTTTAAAAAAAAAAATTCAAAAGACATGTCTTATTGGAAAAAACTGCTGTCCGACATCTTTCCAAAGCACTAAAGAGCAATGATGTCAATTAGAAAATTAATGTGTGCCTGATCTAGGCCATGGTCTGAATTATCTGTTATGAACCTAAAAGTTAGATAATGACTAAGGAAAACAGAAGAACTGACACCTTCGAGGTGTGATGTCAGAGAAGAGTAGTGAAAATCCCATGCACTGCCAAAGGAACAAATAGATCTTGGGAGAAAGTGAAGCCAGGGTGCTCATGTGAGCCAAGGATGGTGAAACTGCCTCATCTTCTGGACATGTTGTTAGTCGGGGTCAGGTCATCATGCTTGGGAACGTGGAAGGTCAGTGTTAGAAAGTGTCAGAAGAAGATCCTCAAGATAGACTGAGATAGTGACTGTAGCAATGGGCTCACATCTCTCAGAGATGAGGAAGACGGCACAGGGTAGGACAGGGTTCAGATCTGTTGTTCGTAGGATCGCTATAGGTCACTGCTGACTTGACTGCACCTACCAACAGTGAGATGACAAACACTAAACTAGTGTCATTTGTATCTTCCATATCTATTCCCATCACAAGATCATGAAAACGAAGAAATGATCATTAATGAAGAAATCAAAATGCGTACAAAAATATTTTTGTAAATGTTTACAAAAACAGACCTCACAGAGAGCTGTCCAGTTAGAATACTTTGGGAGACATGGGCTAGAGAGTGAGAGCTTGGGATCTGGGTGAGACCCAGCAAGGTTCAAATCTTCAGGCTACAGTTCATAAATCTATTAATTACATCAGTTCTAAACTTTATTAAAATATTTTACCTGGCTAAGCTTCCATATTTGTCAAACATGAATGCTAATGAAATCTTTTTCTAAAGTTTGCTGTGAGGACTAAATAAGAATATCCATTTTCTAGCAAACAGTAAGCACGTTGAAACATGAAACAACAATGACCTAGATTGCACTGTGAATACAGATTTAACCCTGAAGAAAGATACTTCCACAGCAGCATTTCCAGTCCACAAACCTCCCACAACATTCTTCCCTGGACACACTAACAAGTAAAAAAGGCAAACCAAACAAGGAAGAAAACTGTACTTAATCCAAATTACCAAAAGAGATTTACAAAAATAGCTTTGAAATACACATGCTGATATCATTATTTCTTTTTCTGGATATGTTTTTGTTGTGGCTGAATATACTTGTTTAATGAATATACTTTTAATTATACTTAAATATTAAAAAAGTATACTACAAAGGACACATTTCAATATAAAAATTACCTTATGATCCAAGAAAACAATTAGCAATAAAACTGATTCAGGGATTTAGATAGAAACATTCATGCTCCTTACCAAGTTTTATTTTTAAAGCAGTAAGTTATTGGACAACTGGTAGAATTATTATTGTTGATTGCTGTCGAGCTGAGCATGACTCTTAGTGACCCTATGAAAAGGCCTGAAACCTTTCTATAATTATTGTCATTTATCAAAGTTCACCGAGTTTCCAGAAGCATGTTGTTTAGGAAGTGGATGCCACTCCTGCTTCTACGGTAGAATTATATAGGACAAAAAAATAGACAGGATAAGCTAACAGAATTTTACACCCCCTTCACCCCCCCCCATTTAAAAAATTAAATTTCTTTTTATTCTTTGCAGTCAATGAATTTTCTTTTGTAATCACCATCAAGAATTTGGTAGCTATCACCTTTAGCGACTCATAGGGTCGCTATGAGTCGCAAACGACTTGACAGCACATAACAACAATAACATCACCTTTAGCCTCTCAACATCAAGAAGACAAAATTCTTCACTACTGGACCAAGAGGTAACATCATGATAGATGGAGAAAGACGTCAATGATTTTATCTTACTTGGATCCACAATCAATACCCTTGGTACCAGCTGTCTGGAAATCAGGAGACAGACATTTTTGCATTTAGCAACTCTGCAGTCAGGGACCTTTCCAAGATACTGAAAAGCAATGATGTGAGTTTAAAGACTAAGGTGTGCCTGAGTGAAGGCATGGTCTTGTCAATCACCTGCTATGCATCTGAGAGTCTGACAGTGAATAAGGATGACAGATAAAGAATGGATGCCTTTAACTGTGGTGTTGGAGAGAATACTGAATATCCCACCAGCTGCAAAAAGAGCTAACAGTTATGTCTTGGAGAAAGTGCAGAGTGCTCCTTAGAGGAAAGGATGGTAAAATTTCATTTCACATTATTTTGAGCATGTTACTAGGTGTGACCAGTTCTTGGAAAAGTAGATCATGCTTGGAAAGGTGGAGGGTCGGTGAGAAAGAGGCAGACCCTCAATGAGATGGACTGGTCAATGACTGGGACAATGGATTCAAGCACAGGACAGGACAGAGTTCAGAGAGTCAGTTGCTATGAGGTATATTCCTCTTGATGGCACCTAACAATGGATTTTCAAAAGTCTACATAAAAATGCACATGCATTCCACCAATGTTTTGTAACATGCACTATTCATTTAATATATTATCTTAGCACTGTTTTCATCTTATTTCAATGACTGTATAATATTCTATGCTACATATAATTTTTTAATTATATGCTTATTGATAGACATTTAAGCTGATTTTGCTCAATTTTGCTATTTCAACTGGCGAAGCTTCTACTTAAAGCTTTGGCTCTAAGTCCAAATATTTCTGGTGGGTAGACACCTCAAAGTGACATTGTTACTCAAAGGCTAAACAAATTTTTCAGATGTTTGGTACATTTTTCCAAACTGGACTTTTAAAATGCTACAACACTTAATATCAGCACAAATTCTGATTCTTCCTTTTACCTATCAGATTGGTAAAACAATAATAAATATGCAAAGAAACTAAAAATTCATTGCAGTCAAGTCAGAACTAACTCACAGCTGACTCCCCAGTGAATTTTCAGAGGGAGATGCAAGCACAATTAAGTATCAACTGTGAGATTTCTAACTGAGGTGTTAGTTCCATTTAGGAAAAGAACATTTATCTTTTTTAAAAAGCAGAGATTATATATATATATATATATATATATATATATATATATATATATTTTCAACCTAGAGGGATCAAAAAAAGGCAAAAAGAGACAAAAATGAGGAGATGCCTATCCTTGTGTAAAGTGGTAACAGTATGAAAGTTCTCAGAACAAAGTGACGCCTCCACCACCCTGTCCAAATCAGCATATTTCATAGTTATGTGAGTAAACACACAAAAATCCAGTTAAGATGGAATGACTCATGCTAGGGAAGAGAGTGCATGGGAATAGACACTCCAAAAAACTGTTGAAGTATTTAGTTACTAAGCTGAAAAAGTTACCTTTAAGTGCAAGCTCTTCTGAAATGTCTTTTCCCTTAACTGATTTCATCCTTTCTAGTATGTTCCTTCACTTAGCCAAATATATCCACTGTCTGCCTAAGGGTCTGGCTTTCCCCAAGGTCCCTCAACTAAAGCGAGTTCAGTGAAGCCCTGACACCTGTGCCCGGCTCCACCTAACTACGCAGCTGGGGCTGTTCTCTCCAGACACTAGCAAATTAGAGGTCATAGCTGTCGGTGCCTTTGGTTTCAAAAGATTATGTGAGTGGCCAAAAGCATTAAAACTATTTGGCATATAGCAATTGTTTTACATGAAAATTTCTGCTCCCTTGTGATACCAAAACAAAACAAGAGTTGTAAAGTTACCAATATATTAAGTTTTTGTTTTGGGGAAAACAAAAGATAAAAGTCAAATTTCCAGATAGTGACACCAGAGGCCCTGAAAAAACCAAACCAAAACAGGAAACCTACAATTAGCACCAAAAGGCAACAAGGAGTATTTTATATAAATTTTATATAAAATTTGACCTAGCAGTTCTGTTGTCACTGAGTCACCTGC